GTGTGTGTGTGTGAGTGTGTGTGTGTGTGTGTGTGTGTGTGTGTGTGTGTGTGTGTGTGTGTGTGTGTGTGTGTGTGTGTGTGTGTGTGTGTGATGTCTGGTGAACGGAAAACAGCCCACGGATTTTGCCAGCACGGTATTAATTATTTCACGCTTGCAAGCCCTGTTTCCATCCTACAGCTTTCAAGTGATGAATATATGTGAAAAAGCTCTGGGGAGCTCTGATTCTTTTTTAAAAAATATTTTATTCTATCAGACAATCCAGACATTAAGGGGAAAGCATAGTCCCCATGTGATTCTTATGGAGAGACTATGAACTGTAGACTCTTCCTTAGCTAGAAGAAGAACAAACATGAAGTGGTTTCAGAGAAAAGAGGAAGTAAGGATACCTAACAGTATCACTCTGAACATTGAGCTAGAAAAGATCAAAGAGGAAAAACAAATTTGGGCTATGTGTCTCTTGTTCTCTGCCTTGTTCCACATTATTTGCTACAAGTGTTGGAACTTTACTCTGCATGGGGAAAAATTGTCTGAGCTGGCATAATTCAGCTTCCTTTCCGATCCAATAGTAGCAGCAGACACATGAGTTAGGTGTCTGGCTGGGGAGTGAGGAGTTGGAATTTGATTGCCCAAGGTGCATCAGAGGAGAAGAGCCAGCCTATGAAACCTTGGGCAAGCCCCAGAAGAAAGAAATGGCAAACCATATCTAAGTCCATGTATTCTCGAAGGCTTTCACGGCCAGAATCTGATGGTTGCTGTGGGTTTTTCAGGCTCTTTGGCTGTTTTCTGAAGGTTGTTCTTCCTAACGTTTCTCCAGTCTCTGTGGCCAGCATCTTCAGAGGACTGGAGTTGGAACTCTGTCCATGCTCTATGGACAGAGTTCCTATTCCAGTCCTCTGAAGTCCTCCAGTCCCTTGTGCATGGACAGAGTTCCTACTCCAGTCCTCTGAAGATGCCGGCCAAAGAGACTGGCAAAATGTCAGGAAGAACAACCTTCAGAACACGACCAAAGAGCCTGAAAAACCCACAACAACCATCATATCTAAGTCCTCAATACCTCCAAAATTCTGGAAGCATGACATATAATCTTTATTGTTATGGAGGAGACACAGAGGTGGTAGAGAGGTGTGTGGCAACCACATCTTTATATTAATTGAAACCAGATTCTGGTCTAATTTTCAGCTGCTAAACGCATACTTGCTTAGCTATTATGGCATGACATTCAGGATGTTTGGACTGCACCAATTGTTGTGTAGTTCTCGTCACATTTAAAAATCTGCAGTTAATATTATATTTAGGAAGTGCAACAAGAGATTGGAAATTAGCATTTTAAAAACAAATCTAATTCATCCCTTCCCCCCCTCTTTGTTTTGGAAGGGGCTAGAGTATAACTCAGTTACTCCATGACTGAGATGAGCCCAACTGCAATGCTATGAAGGGTAAATTTCATTTCCTTTGTGCTATAACTGCAATTTTCTTAGATACTTTTATGATTACGAGCTGCTTTGCCACTTGGGTATGCTTTATGCCACGGGTCAGCAGTCTGTAACATTTTGATGGCTTTCTTGACTAAGACACTGAAAGACCGTTGTTGCTTTTGGATGACGGGAAAGGCAAGTCTCGTTTTCTAGAAGTCATAGCTGTGCGAGCAGGCCACCCATTTGTCAGGAGTGGTGCTGAAACTGGAACACATTCCTTCTCAAAAGTAACTTCTTAAGCCTGGAGTAGAAGGCTTTCGCTTTGAATACAGGCAGTGGAAAAAACAGGCTTGTGTGTTTGTGGAAGGCAAAATAAGAAATGTATGCAGGTCTCATCCTTCTTCCTGACTGGGGTCCTGTATGACTCTCCAGAAATGCAGGATTGTTTTGTTGTTCGGCTTCTGATACGATCTCTCGGAGTCTTCCCTGCGAGCAACGGGGATAACAAGACGGCTGGCTCCAGCAAATTTGTTGGCTCTCCCGCTCTGCATCTTTCTCTCTCTCTCTCTTTCTTCCTCTGTTTAGTTCCTGGATCACTTGTTGGCTGGCATAGAAGATATATCAGGACACTGGGGGCAGTATTATTGGAAAGACAAGTAAGGATTTGTTAGAAACACCCGTCTTGACATGTGTAAAGAGGGAAAACAACATCTCGCCAGTCTGATTTTTTGTTTTCCATAAAGTTCCCTCAAGGGATGGTTCCTTTTCATCTGTTACAGCAGATCCTTGTTGCACAACAACAACAACAACAAAACCATCTCTTCCCACTCCCCCCTTTCCTTGAAGCAGAAAGGATAGGATTAGGATTGTTTGGAAGCTTCTATCTATCTATCTATCTATCTATCTATCTATCTATCTATCTATCTATCTATCTATCTATCTATCTTCTATCTATCTATCTATCTATCTATCTATCTATCTATCTATCTATCTATCTATCTATCTATCTATCTATCTATCTATCTATCACCCCATTAGCGCAGTGCACTTGCTCTGGGCAATTCACAGTAAAATAAAAGTATAGCAATCATGAAGCAAAGGACGATGACAACAGATAGATACGCAGCACACGAACCCACTCCGAGACGCACACGTCACGAGCTGAAATGCGTAGGACAAATAGAGAGCAGCAGAGAGACACAGCAGGCCAAGTCGCCAAAATAGCTCTCTCTGTAAAGCAGAGTCTTCAAAAGACATTTAAATGTTGGATGGGAGGGAGGGAGGCAGGCAAAGCTCCACCAGGAGTTGATTCCAAAGTGTGTGTTTGTGGGGGGGGGACACCACAGAGAAGGCCCTGCTTCTAATAGCTGATCTTCCTGGCCTGGGAGGACCTAGTGTAGCGGGTAGATGATCTTGGGGAAAGATGCTCCAACACGTAGTGTGGTCCCAAACCCTGGAGGGTTCAATTTCCCCTTCTTTGAAAGGCAAAGTACCATTCTTTAGTGCACAAGGCCTTCTGGCTCTTAGAATACGATGTACAGCGGATCCATCAAAGGAAGGATCAGGAAAAGAGCATGACTTTAACAACCTTAGAAAGACTAGAGGATTATTATAGATAAGCTTCTGTCACACTCTGATGTGTGGTCCCAAACCCTGGAGGGTTCAATTTCCCCTTCTTTGAAAGGCAAAGTACCATTCTTTAGTGCACAAGGCCTTCTGGCTCTTAGAATACGATGTACAGCGGATCCATCAAAGGAAGGATCAGGAAAAGAGCATGACTTTAACAACCTTAGAAAGACTAGAGGATTATTATAGATAAGCTTCTGTCACACTCTGATGATATAGCCGTTGACCTTAGAAAGACTATAGATAAGCTTCTGTCACACTCTGATGATACAGCAGTGACTTCCTTCAGACTTTATAGCATCCACCTGTGCTTTGACTTGGAGTGATCCATCCTGTCCTTTTTTAGAGCGCCCCTGCTCCTTTTTGGCACAGCACTAGGACCCCAGATTTTAGAGTGATTCGGAGCACTCCTAATTAGCCAGTTCCATGGCCCGTGTAGATGGTTATTTCACAGCAATATAGATTTGTGGGTGTTATCTGCGGTAACAACCCTGTGGTGGATTGTGGCATTGAAAGGGGTAATGGAGAATTCCTCTCACCTCTAATTTCATCTATTGTACCATTTAATTATTTTTTGTATGTATTTTCCTATTGATGCAGTCATCTCACCTCTATTTTCATCTACTGTACCATTTAATTATTTTTTTGTATGTATTTTCCTATTGATGCAGCGCTATGCTAGATAAAGGAGATACATCGGTGGTATTAGATGTACCATGCTAGGTAGATACACTGCTGTTTCACTATGTCGTTTGCTTTAATAATAATAATAAAAAGGGAAGTCTTTGCAACCCACCGAATGGGTTGGGAAGAGGAGTGTCATTAATCAAAAAGAGGACAAATTGGGGCAATCTAAGGACCTGTCTGGACTCTTCTCATGGAAAGAAAAATCCTCAGTCGGTGTGAATGGAAGGATCACTTGAGTGAGAGATTAAACAAATTACACTAAATATACAAACATCTTAAGCACGAACCAGACTTTGGGCAGCTTCCGTCTCTGGAGACGCCCGAAGTCTGGTTTTAATCTCTGCTAGAAGTAGATTTCCTGCAAGCTAATAGATGTGCTGTCGTCCATTCAAACACAGGTCACCCCTAAAATATTCTGTTTTTGATGAGGATGGACAAATATAAACATTGTTGAACTGTGACGTATCAGAGGCCATTGCTGGCTAGGACAGATGGATGCTGCAGTTCAACAACAGTGCCTCTGGCTTCCACCACTAAAATGAGCAGCCCATTTGCTGGTGATGCCAGGGTGCCCCTCTTGGCAAGTATCCTCAGCCCTGCCCCCAGAAATTCTTCAAGATCTTAGGTCTTTTCCATCACCGGTTGTCTAAATCAGTGGTTCCCAAACTTGGGTCCTCAGATGCTCTTTGACTATAAGTCCCAGAACCCTTCACCATGACCTGTACTGGCCAGGATTTCTGGGAGTTGTTGTCTAAGAACATCTGGGGACCCTAGGCTGGTACCCACAGGTCTCAAGTATTCACTGAAGATTCTGGGACTCAGTCAGGGATGTTCTGCTGGTAACGCAGGGATAGGCGAGGTGCGATTTTCCAGATGCTGGTGGATGACAACTCAGTATTCTTCACGAGCTGTAATTCAACCACATTGTGGAGGGCCATGCCTTTGCCTTCTCTTTGGATCACCTCCATTTCTCTTAAGATAAACCTCCCTGAGAGTGAAGCAGGAATAGGGAAGGAAGGAATCCTGTTTGTTTGTTTTGCTCAACCCTAAAGAGTCGTTTGCTTGTTCCCGGGCAGATTGGAGTACTTTAACAGCAAATACCTGCAGAAGTTTTTACTCCGGGAATACGCACAACCCAAGTCAAGCATTGTGCTCCTTTATGAGAAACTGGAGAGGAAGCACGCCATCGAGTTAGCAGAAACAGGCCAACTCATTTATGGGCCGTCCCATAATCCACTGCTGTAAGTCTGACTTTATTCTTTCGCTGAGCATTGCACTCTCGAATTGGACACAAACTGGACCGCAAAGCAGAAAACAACAACAACGAATCGAGCTGGTTCGTGGTTTGCCTTTGAGGATCCTTGTTTTGCTGAGATGAAATAAAGCACCGAACTTTTTTTATCCCCTCGGCGCTTTGTTTCGCTCGGCAAAAGGGGATGCCTACCTGCCCCCTTCCCACTGCCCCGTTGCCCCCCAACTCGATCATGCTTCACTGCTGACATCCTCCGGGGCAGTCGGTCCAGCCTCCCTTCCTGGAGCTAAACCTGCTCCATCTGCTCATGCGCCCACCGTCCAACAGATAGGCAAGCTCATGCGCGGGGGTGGCGGGCTTGGTTCCTAGTGATTCTCTTCCTCACCACGGACTGGAGTTCCTTCTTCTGAAACTCTTCCATCTTTTTCTCCCCACAGCCACCCTGACAAACCTGCCACCTCTGTCATCGAATCGGACACTCTCAGTCTCGATGTGGTGGATGATATTCAGAAGATTTTGGAGAGGAACCTTTATAAAACAAGGAGGACGGTGAGATCTTTCTTCAGCTGATTGTAAATGGATGATGGATGTCCTGAACAACCGCCGGGTAAAATGGTCCATGGTTTTCTACTCCAAGCTGGGACAGGAACCAATGCAGTACTGGGGAGTTTGGGTTTTAAAAAGGGGAGGTTTCTAGGAATTTAGTTAGCATTCTGCTAACTAAGGCAGGAAAATATAAGGGGTGCGTGTGTGTGGGAAAACAGAAATGTGGAGAGATCAGTTCAGTTTCACATCCTCTCTGATTTGCACACAACGCTAGCACTTTGTATGATAAACATCACTGTAGAAGCATTTAAAGTAGAAACAGGGTATCTTTACTTACAGCAACCATCCGTAGTTACAGTCAGAGGGAAAAAAAGAGGAATGCAATCTCTAGCAATCAGGAGCTGCTCTATGCTTGTTGCTTGATGGTTAGAGGAAGAAGGAGGGACCATCAACAAAACAATGGGAGAGAAAAAATGGCGAAAGGGTGCTAGAGCTTGCCTCAAATGTTAAAAGTAGGGAGAGCTTTACCAATCACGTTAGTGGCCAAGGACAGTCACATTAGGCTATAAAGGCCACTGATACCGAGTATTAATGCATGCAAGCTATATCTGGTCCCACCTACTGCTAAATTATACTCTCTTGCTACCTGCCCAGTGGGAAGTCGGTTGCTAAGTTAAAGGGGAGAAAGAGGATCCCCCTGTCTTAGATGAAAGTAGAATTTGGATCAGCTATGTTCCCTAGGACCAAAAGACAATTGAAGGATGGCTGAGACCCAAAACGATTAACATGTCCTTCCCTTTTGCTCGCCTTGGACCTGACCAGGTGCCGGCCTACAACAGGCATACCCTTCCTCCCGGAGAAAACGAACCCGTAGAACAAGCCAAGCAGATTTTGATCCTGAGACACAAGAGCTGGCAGATGCACATGAACAGCAGTGACTCGGACCACTTGAGCAAGGAGGTAAGCGGGCCGCCGGCGGGCACGGCCAGGGATCTGAGCCAGGCTGAGATCAGGCGACTCGGACCACTTGAGCAAAGAGGTAAGCGGGCACTGCCAGGGATCTGAGCCAGGCTGAGATCAGGGAGCGTGGACTGAGTCGTCTGGACCTCCGAGGCTCTAAATGTCTCATACGGATCGCCTGTTTGGCAGGAGAAGAATCTCATGCTCTTGGCAGCCCATTCCATGTAGGCCGAATCGGGACTGTATAAATTGCCTAACAAACCTTGTAAGACCGTGTGTGAAGAATTGTTTCCAGCTTGTGTCCTCCTTAGAGTGTGCTATATGCCCTCCCGTTGAGAATGGCTTCTCTACAGAGTTGGAATGATGGATTTTTGGATGACTTTTTTTTGAGAATAATCAGTGATCATTGCCTGTGCTCATTGGAATAATTTTGGTTATTACAGGAACATACACATGCCCTGTTTTATCTTTGGTGGTCTGGGTTAGTAGTTTGGAACCTTTAGTCTTTCCGATGTTTTGATCATGAACGTTTGGGACTCCCTGACCATAGGGCCTCGGTTTTACTTGCAGGGGCTTCTGGAAGTGGAAGTCTAAAGGATTTGGAGGACTAAAGCCAGAGAACTATGATTCCATGTGATCCATGAGCAGATCCTTAGTGTATAATATATGGCAGAGTTGTGGATGTCTGGTTAAAACCCCTTTGTGCTACGTAGCAGAAGTACAGAGGAGAATAGCTTCAAGTTCCCAGATGGTCCACCCCTTTCTCATTCACTTGCACTTACTGTCTCCCTAACTCACTCTGAGACATTAGTAGTAGAACAATAAATAGGTTTCATGACTTACAGCTGGGAACAGCAGATCGCAAGGTAACAAATTGACAAAGATAGGGAAAAGAACATTGAGCAGAGAGTCGGGGCTGCCTTTGAATTTGAATGCAGATGTTGTATCTACAGCATGACTTAAGCATATGATGGTCACTTGAGTATTAGAGCTGTTTAGTGGAGGAAAAGCCCGCTCTGACATCCTCATTTCCTCAGGCGAATAAGTATAATTGAACAGATGAGAGTTCTGCTATGTAAGGCCTTATTTGTCATCGCAATTGGTAGGATCCAGATACAGTGGTGCCCCGCATAGCCACGTTAATCCATTCCAAGATTAATGTCGCTATCTGGATTTGTCGCTATGTGGGGGGGAACCCAAAGAAACGCATTAAACTCCGTTTAATGCATTCCTATTGGGGAAAAACTCACCGCTATGCGGGGAATCCTCCATCCGGCTGCCATTTTTGCCACCTGGTAAGCGAGGGCAGGGCGCGAAAACACTGCAGGCGGCCATTTTGTTGACCCAGCGGCCATTTTGGAACCACTGATCAGCTGTTTGTAAAACATCGCAATGCGGAGATCGGTAAGCGAAATGCTTACCGATCATCGCAATGCAATGTTTTCCCTATCTAAAACATCGCAATGCGATTGCATTAGTAATCGCAAAAAACGCATCGCTATGCGGATTCATCGTTAAACGGTGCGCTCGTTAAGCAAGGCACCACTGTACACACCTTGCTGAGAAGACAGCCAAACAGAAACCATTAATGCACAGTGGATTTCCCATCCTAACTCTTTGCCCTGTCATATGCAGAATTTTATTCTTCATTTGACCACAAGGTGGAGGTATTACAATTATGCTTGCAAGAGCAAAAGGAAAGGGAACTTTGAAAAATCTTGTGGAAATGCATGTTAGAGATAAAGTAATAAGCAAATCAATTACAAATCAAGGATGCTCATGAGGAAGAATGGATGGAGAATTTAGGAAGAAAAAAAATCACCTCTGAGAAATTCTGGAGATTTTCTTTCCCTCGCCAAAATTTAGAAAAACAATCCCTCGGAATGTATTTTACCACCAATAGGATACAGGATTTGAAAAAGTGCGTAGATATAACTTTGGTTGCTTTGGGATATCATTATATAAACCATGGTCAGTCATGATAGCAGCGAACCTACCTTTTCCTTAGCTAGGCCTAGCTGTGCCTAAGCTTCCTCTTCCTGCCCCAGTGCTAGCTGGGAGCTTTCTTTCTGAAAAGGAAGCTTAACTGAAGCTAGGCCTAGTGAAACCTCAAAGCCTACTAATTAGGGTTTTCTCCAAGGTTTGTCACATTGGGGCGTTTGCAAAGTATCTGCAAGATAAGCAGAACTCAAAAGAATACAGAGTTACAGTGTTTGCAGTCTAGGGAATTCCAGACCCTCGTCTCTTAAAAGTAGACCTTCTCTGGATGACTTTTTCGCCTTGTCCAAGAACGAGGGGGAACAGAAAGAGAGGTTTTGCTGCTTAGGAACGCCGTTCAAAATGTCATTTGGAAGCTTATTTTGGAAGACCTTCTCAGGAGTCTTTCAACTTCTGTACGACGACAAACTCGTACGATGGTTACAACGGTGACGACGCTGATAAACAATGGGGAAGGGAGCGAGGTCCCTTGTTCCAACGGGAAAGGAACAAAGCAAAATAAAATTCTGAACGGGGAAGGATCCAGAGTTATTTGGCAGCCCAAGCTTGGGAGCCTGAGGTGCCCGATCACACCTCCATCCGCGGCCAACACTCCGCTTCAGAAACACAGGAGATATTCAAGCTTTCCATGTGCAGACAGGAGTATTTTTTTTGGGGGGTATGAAGATTAGCCAAAGGACAAGAGTGCTCATTAGCATGAGTCTCTTTACCTCACAAGTCCTCTCCTGGTGACTTGGTCCAGAGCCAAGGAACACCTCTGCGTACAGTGGCCAAGTTCCCCCCCCCCATTCCACACCGTTGGCAGGCGTGCGGCTTTCCGGATTAGGTTGGGCAGCTGTGGCTAAAGTAGATTGGACGTCTTTGCATCGAGTTTAAGAAAAACACACCACACCACACACCTATCTGTAAATTACATTTCTCTCCTTCTCTTTAAGCTGCAACGTGTAGGCTTTGTGTATTTTTAGAAAAACACTTTCTTATCTTGGAGAAAGGAAAAAACAAATGGGAACGGAGCGGTTGGAAGAATTGCAAATGGTTGTTTGTATCATCCGTTTAGCAGCAATTTTAAGACAATTGCCGCCGATTATAGTTGGAAGGGACTTCATAAACCACCCGGTTCGGTCCCTCTGCCAGAAGCAAGGCTGCTTTCCAAAGCTATCTTTGTTGAACATTCATGTCCAGCCGTTACAGAGAGTTGACTATATTTGTGCCTTACCTCGGGTGAAAAAAGGTGTGTGTCTGATTGCACCCCAAAGGGTCACTTTGATGGGAAAGCTGTCCCTTAGAGTGACCTCCTTCTGCCCATCAGGGAAGTGCTCCAGCCTGGTTCCCAAAATTAGTTGCCCTGCTGGGGGACCGAAAAGGTCCAGGTCGGACCTCAATTGGGGCCAGGCTAGAGTGCGATTCGCCCATACATCACACGATCACTCGGAAGCCTAGAACTATAGGATAATTGAGTTGGAAGGGGCCTATAAGGCTATCCACTCCACCCCCCTGCTTAAGGCAGGAATCCAAGTCAAAGGAGATCTGATGAATGGTGATCCCATTTTCTCTTGAATGCTTCCAAAATTGGAGCGCTCCCCACCTCCCGAGGTCATGGGAGGCATTTTCATACTGCTCTAACAGTTAAGATGGTTCTCCTGATTTACAGCCTAAATCCGGCTTGCCTGTAGTTTGAGCCCATTTTTATGTGTCCTGCACTCTGGGATGTTCGAGAACAGCTCCTGTCCCTCCTCTGTAGGACTGCCTTTCCAGTATTTGAAAAGTGCTGTCTTATCTTCCTTCTGTCTTTTTCTCTCTCTCTCAAGGCTTAACATGCCCTGTCCTTTCCGTCTTTCTTCCTAGGGCTTGGTTTCCAGTCCCCTGATCCCTTTTGTAGCCCTCCTCTTAATTGGCCCCAGTTTGTTGGCAATCTTTGTAAAGTGCAGTGTTCAGAACTGGACACAGTGCTCTGGATGAGGCCTAAGTGGTGTTGAATAGAAGGGGAGGGGAAGTAGCTTGTACTGGGCTGCACCACAAGGAGTCGAAAAGATGAGCTATAGGCCCGTACCTTTACATCCTCCATTCATCTGAGGGATGGTCTGTTATAGGGCAGGTTGGCTGTCTCATGGGATTTGATATTCTTGGAAGTAGAATTCCTATCTCCTCTGAACTGGTGGGAAGAAACGTACAGTGGTGCCTCGCCTGACGAGGATAGCTTGTACTGGGCTGCACCACAAGGAGTCGAAAAGATGAGCTATAGGCCCGTACCTTTACATCCTCCATTCATCTGAGGGATGGTCTGTTATAGGGCAGGTTGGCTGTCTCATGGGATTTGATATTCTTGGAAGTAGAATTCCTATCTCCTCTGAACTGGTGGGAAGAAACGTACAGTGGTGCCTCGCCTGACGAGGATAATTCATTCCAGTCTCCTCTGAACTGGTGGGAAGTGGTGCCTCGCCTGACAAGGATAATTCATTCCGTTCAAATCACTGTTAAGTGAAATCCTTGTCAAGCGAAACAAAAAAGCCAATTGAAATGCATTGAAAACCAGTTCAAAGCGTTCAATGGGCGAAATACCTCAGCGTCCAGTGAAGATCCTCCATATGGTGGCCATTTTCCCGGTGCCTGTAATGTGAGGAATCCGTCCTAAAGCACAGCGGGGAGCCATTTTGCACAGCGGGTGGCCAATTTGAACCCCGACGATCAGCTGTATTTGATCATCGTAAAGCGAAAAATCGGTTCCTGAAGCAGGGAACCGATCGTCGTAAATCAGAAAAACCCCATTGAATCATTATTTAGCAATCGCAATAGCAAAAAACTAATCATCAAGCAATTTCCTCATCTAACAAGGTAATCGTCAAGCGAGGCACCACTGTACTTCGCTTTGAGAATTCAGACACCTGTTGGGTTTATGGGGTGTTTTGAAAAATAATATTAATAATGTGCTGTCAACTCAATTCTGACTTAGGATGAACTTTTTCAGGGTTTTCTAGCTAGAGAATGCCCCAAACTGGTTTCCCATTCCCTTCTTCTGGGGCCTTCCTGGGACTGTGCAGCTGGCCCAAGGCTAGACAGGTTGGCTCTTCTGTGGGGAGGTGTAGTGAGGAATCACTCTCTCAGCCTCTGGCTCTGCAGTGAGATGCTTTAACTGCTGAGCTAAGGGGCACAAAACTATGCACACTATAACAAAAAATTCAAATAACTAGAAGACATAAGAGTGGGGGGGAACTTTAAGATTCTTCAGTTCATGTGTAATAATGTGTGAATTAGGTAAAATCGATGTGCAAATGTATGAACTAGGAAAACAGGTAAACAAATGATCGCAGGAGGAAGAACATATACAAAAATGTAAATTTCAAAAATGTAAACATGGGGCCAGGGACGAAGAACAATTTTAGTAACCTGGTATGGAAGACAGGAAGAAAATGGAGGTAGTATTTAGGGAAACATGAAAAAAAAATTAAGATTTCACATCATAATTGGGCCATGATATTTTAACAACAAAAGGCCCAGTTCCATGGATTGCAGCGATTATACCTATTAGCCAGTGACCCCACTCTTCGCAACTTTGAATGGTCTTGCTGGTAGCCAGATCATGTACTTTTGGCTTCAATTATCCAGCCCAGTTATTTTAAAATTATTTCATGATGCTCTTTCTTTACTGCAGAAAGCTGACTCCGCTTCCTTGGATGATGGAACTCATCCCGGACCTAGGTTGTGCAGGTCCCTTACTGGTAGGTTGGGAAAAAATTGGGGCATGATTCCCCAGAGGCAATGAATGAATACCGTATTTTTCCATGTATAAGACTATACTTTTCTCTAAAACCTTTAGACTAAAAATTAAGGGTCGTCTTATACACAGAAGTAAGCTGAGGAGAGAACAAAAACAAGTGGAGGGGAAAGCAGGGATCAAAGCGATCCTGCAACGCTTTGATCCCTTTCCCCCTATACTTGCTAAGCCCCACTTAGATTTCTTAATTTTGGATAAGAAACGTGGGCGCGTCTTATACATGGGGGCGTCTTATACACAGAAAAATACGGTAAATTAGCAATCGTGTTCAGATTTTGTGCATCTGATGGATGAATTAAGTTTCACAAATGATTTACAGTTACAAAGGCTCACCAAGTTAAAAGCATGTACAATACGACCCCATTATCCATAGGATCAGTATTTGCTGATTCACTTACTCATGGTCAGAAAATATTAAAAATATTAAAAGAAAAATCCTAGAAAAAATATGAAATACATAAATATGAAGTTATCAGAACTGGCCACTGGAGGGAGCCAGAGACCATGCCATGTATAACATTTGCCATTAAAATAGAGTTCGCTATAATCTATGTTTTTCAGCATCTGTGGGGGTCGGTGGATATGAGGTTCTACTGTAGTGTACTTTAATGCACATCTAACGTAAATATATATGAAAATGTCCCCATTTCTCAGACAACTGAATTATTCTGGTTTGCTGTTGAGTCTAAGATACCAGTTGGGTCCTTACCCTTGGCACCATAGATTTTATCTAATGGGTCATAGGAATCCAGAAAAGAGCCCTTGCAGGAATTTGGCAGCTTAGAGGGGTTGGTATTGAAATGGTGCTTGCATTTCACCTTGCTCCAACTTACAACAATGCCCGTCAGTCACAGATCTTGTCTTGTCTTTACAGCCAAGCATTCCAGAGAAGCACCGAATGTCAAATCGAACCGCTCCAGATCCGTTGGTTTTATCATTCCTCTGCAGCAGGCCGCTCCCCAGTGGATTAATGACCAAGAAACCAGTAAAAGTCCCATTTCGGAGGAGAAGTGACACCCGTGGATTGGCTTTTCCATTGTACTCTTTCCCCCCCTCTTTCTGTCTTGATCCTATAGATCAGTGGTTCCCAACTTTGAGTCTACCAGATGTTCTTGGATTACAACTCTCAGAAATCCTGGCCAGAATAGCTTGTGGTGAAGGCTTCTGGGAATTGAAGTCCAAAAACATCTGGGGGTGCAAGGCTGGGAATCATTGGTATAAATTATAGGAAGTGTTGGATGTGTGTGGTCAATTCTCATCTACTGTCAAAAATGCTCTGGGAAAACAGGAAAACCCCTTTATCCATGGGATCAGTATCCATGGTCTGAAAATATTAAAATATTAAATCCTAAAAACATGAGATATCAGATGAAGTGGACTTCTTCATGAACATGGTTACCACCATGTTTTTGTCTTTTTTTAACTTTTATTTCTATTTTTCTTTTACCAGCAATGCTTTCACAGACTAACATGGCTACCCCTTCTACAACTAAAAACATGTATTTCTAATGATGAAAGTACTAGAACTGGCCACTAGATGGAGCCAGAAGATGAAAGTACTAAAACTGGCCACTAGATGGAGCGAGAGATCATGCTATTGTATACTGTTCACTAGAGAAATATATTTCTACAGTGTCATTACCAGAACTGGCCACTAGACGGAGCCAGAGACCAGGTTATGTATAGTGTTCATTTGTAACCAGTCCCCCCCCCCATTGTATACTGAAATCATTGTGCACATATGTTCATGAAATATGTTTAGTCTGCTCTAGGTCTGAATTCAAATTATTATTTTTCAAAAAAAAAAATTGGCAGACATACTGTTCATTACAAGTCCATTTTACAAGAATTGTGGGGTTTGGAAATGTTACTTTTTTGAATGACAGTTCTAAGAAATCTCTAGCCAACTATTGTCAGCAGGAAATTCTAGGACCTGCACAAAAAACATTTAACTCTGCCGCGTCCTCCTTGAGATTTGAGACAGTACAGCTGAGGTACAGTCCAGCTAGAATTATACCTGTCCACAGGCCAAGTGTTTTTATAACAAAATCTTCCTCCAGGTCAGAGATACTTATGGGAAAAGAAGTTCCACAATGCAGTCATCTGCATATTTATTCTTATTGAGGTCAATGGGATTTATTTTCTGGGTGCTCTGTGATGATCTAGCTTCAGAGGCAGAGGTCTTCTTTTGTGTACAATAGCATGCCCCCCCATCCTCAGGATCAGTATCCGCAGGCTTAAAAATACTAAATAACTCCCCCCAAGAAATATTTATGTTTATCTCTAGGATGTATTTACTAAATGTGGCCACTAGAGGGACTATGCAATGTATAGAGCTCGATATTTCTGTGTTTCCTAGCATCTGGGGGGGGGCGGGGCTTGGAAGCGATCCCCCACGGATACTGCAGTCCTCCCTGTACAGGTGTGTATTAGAAATGCAGGTGCAATGAGAGGGAACGTTTGAACTTACATGAAGAGCAATAGTGTTACTGTTATAATAATTTTATAAAGCAACCACACTGATTTTTTTTCTGATGATGATGATCACACGGCTACATTCTAGCGGTGTACTTTTGCACCCTATGTGGGCAGGTATACAACTCCATTTATCACGGGACACATGGAAACACCATCCTGGTTATAGGATGGAAGAAGGAGAAGGTGTGGTGAGTGGCCAGTAGGGGGCAGAAGAGAGGAGTTGGACTAAGCGCTGTTTTCTCTGTCATCTGTCCATTGAGTTGGGTTTTACAGGAGTAGGGTCAGTGTGTCAGATCTACACCGAGGAGCCCGGGGTCAACAAAAACGTCTCTGAGGACGAGGATCTGATGTGGGCCAGTAGCCTTTGCAACCGGGTGATAAGATGGGCTTCCGTCTTAGCTTGGTTCGTATATTTGTAAATAAATTCAAATTTTGCTCAAACCACCTCTGGCTCTAGTCCTCTTTCTTTCTGAAGGCAGCCGGAAATGGGCCAGTTGTGCTGAGGCATCAGCAAAAACTCATTTCGACCCGGGACACAATCATCCGGAAAGGACCTGATGGGAGTTGTAGTCCCACACCAGGGAGACACGAGTTGCCCACCCATCTCCCTGTATGTGATTTACGATCATGCGAACGGCCAGCTTTAGGCTTTTCTTGGCCCCGGAATCCAGGGCTGAGTTGCCGTGCAGACCACATTCGTTGCCCGGCCTTAATGCCTCAGCTGTTTTCGGCCCCAGGTCATTTGCTTTTCATAGCCGTCTCCTCAGTGCCCTGTGAAATGAACACCGGGCACGCCGCAGTGCCAGTCCTCTGTGTCTTAAAATAGAGCCTCTTCTCTCCAGGCTCCCCTCCCCTCCTGCCTCTCGGTCTTCATATCCCAACACCGTTCCCTACCTTGGCTCTTTTGCGAAGATTCGCGCTCCCTTCTCATTCTTGGTCTTTCAACCATGAAGGTCAAAATCGCTGCCTTTTTAGCCGGGATTCTGGGAGTTCTCGGCGTCCTTCTCTTTCTGATGTCCTTCGGGACGGATTACTGGCTGCTGGCAACGGAGACTTGTGGGGGATTTGAACCCGAGAACGTCACGCGTCCGAACAAGGAGGTAATGAAATGACGATACCGAGAAATCGTTTGGCGAATGTGCACCTGTCCCATTAAGAACTGTCGTTAGTGGGAACATATTGCTGGAAAGGCGTGGAAAATTAGGAGGTTGTGATTTTAACTAAGACACAACTGTGTATGCCTCTGTGAGCTATTCAGATTTAATTAACTCTTAAATATCCTGTGGTTGTTGCCTTAAGAAAGAAGAGAAAGACTTCTCTTCCTGTCTTTTCCCATTCGCATGCATATTGCTTGATTAATCAGTCAATCAACGAACACTCATATAATTAATCAAGTACCATGTTTCTAACTGGGTGATATCCTGATTAAGGGCGAGAAGCTGAAGTAAATATTTTCCTCACTTCGAGGTTCCTTTGGCAATCGGCTAAGGCCACAACCCTGTCTGTACTTGTATCATCATCATCACCACACCACCATCAGAGCTACAAAAAAGCGGCAATATTAGGAACAACATACACACACTGCGTCGGTATTTAACAGATACTTAGGTTTTTGGTTAAAACTTGTACCTGTTATGTAATACCAGCCAATGTTTTAATAATGTTAATTGACTGTGTCTGGTATTTTTTACTACTACTGCTACTGCTACCGATGATGATGATGATGATGATGATGATGATGATGATGATGATGATGATGATGATGATGATGATATGCCATTGGGACAGTTCTGACTTCTGGCAGCTCGCCTTTGAGTTTTCTAGGCATGCATTACTCAGAGAGGGCTTGCCATTCTCTTCTCCTGGGGGCCCTGTGGGGCTGGCTAGGGTGGCCCCAAGGCTACGTAGGCTGGCTCTTTCCCCAGGAGGCACAGTGGGGGAATGGAACCCTTGACCTCTGGTTCCACAGCCAGGTACCAAACTCTTTGAGCTATCCAGCCAGCTGCCTGCACTTCCTTCAGTCCCATTGCAAATGCAAGACTCTCTCCATATATAAAGCTGGGCAAATAAATGATTGGCCTCTGAGGTTGTGGGCATTCTGGTATGTGAACGTGGCTTCTCCTGGTGGACGGTCTCTCTCCATTGTGTCTTCAGGAGTAACCACGTCTCTTCTGAGATCTGTTTATTTTTTCTTTTGGTTTTGAAGCAACCTTCAAAGACAGGACACTTTAGACCACGGATTCCTGACCTTGGGTTCCCCAGATGTTCTTAGACTACAACTCTCACGTCTCTTCTGAGATCTGTGTACTTTTTCTTTTGGCTTTGAAGCAACCTTCAAAGACAGGACAATTTAGACCACGCCTTGCTAGAGGCGAAGGTTTCTGAGAGTTGCAGTCCAAGAACATCTGGGGACCCAAGGTTGGGAACCACATCTTTGGATTGTCCTCTGACAGCCTTTCAAGCACAGCAGCGTCCTTGGTTGAATAAGACTCTCAGGTTCTTTCCAAACATTTGGGAAGGATCCAGAAGATGATTACTGGAGCTCTGTAACCAATAAATGGGCTTTGGGTGGATGTTTTTGAACTGTTGCCTGCCTTCATGATGATACACTTTCAAGAGTCAAGGAGCCTTTTGGATACAGTCTGCATTTTGGACAGCGTGCGGGTGACCGTACTGCTGCTAAAGGTCTAGGAAATGAAAATTCCTCCACGATTCTTCAAGTCTGTGAATCTCTTTGAAGCAGTTATTGCAATCCCACCAACACTTGTTTTTATTTTGGATGATTTCCTACTCCTAGGTTACAGGCAGCTGCCTTCCAGAATTTGCCTTTAAGTGCTGGAGAGAATCCGAAACGTTATGTTTTATGCAAACACACACAACACCGAGTTTATATACGAGTTATGTAAAATATTTTTACCCCACCTCCCTCCTTAAAAAGGACCCAGAGTGACTTACATTATTAAAAGGCAACAATTAAAAGCTAAAAAAGGACCCAGAGTGACTTACATCATTAAAAGGCAAACAATAATTATACAAAGGCGGCTTGCATAATTAAAAGGGTATGACATCATATTATGGATTTATTGATTGATCTAAGGTTTGTGTATCATCATTTTTACTTTCTCTCAACTGTCACACCTATTGTTATTTAATATATTGTGTGAGCCATTCTGGACACGATTAGTGGAAAAGTGGAACACAAATAAATACAGGATGACCACAAGGGCGACACTGACACTAAATACTGTATAGTAAAATAGCTTCTGTACTAAATTGGATGATTATGAAATGTCATGATTTCCACGATGCTTCTGAATATTTCCTTGTTGCTTAAAAAATGCACACAATAGGATGGGAGGGAAGACTGGAAAGAAGACGCAGGAATCCTTACTTTTCACCATGAAGGTTTCTTCTGGAGGTGCTGGTTTTTTGGTGAAGGCTACAAGGAGACCATCTGGAACTTCTGGTTTAGTGAGTAAAGAAGGGAGCTGGAACAAAATATCAAGGTGTATCTTCACCGGCTAACCTGCTCAATTCAGTTATTAGTCCCAACTATAATCATTTATTATATGTTTTATTTACTGTATTTTTCTGCGTATAAGACCCCCCCACTTTTCTCAAAGCGCTGCAGGATCGCTTTGATCCCTGCTTTCCTCTCCGCTTGTTTTTGTTCTCTCTACAGCTTACTTCCGTGTATAAGATGACCCTCAATTTTTAATCTAAAGATTTTAAACAAAAGTATAGTCTTATATACAGAAAAACACGGTACAGTATTTAAAAATTTTTACCCCACTTTTCTCCTTATAAGGACCCAAGGAGGCTTAGAAGAATTAAGACTCAATAATAATAACAACAACAACTTGATTCTAACTTATAACAACTTTTTCCAGAGCTCTAGGCACAGAGTATGTAGAAGCAGTTTACTACTCCCTTCTTTTGGGGGCACTAGGGGACCACATTGTTTGCTAAAGACCACACAGGCTGGCTCTTCTCTCGGTCAATTTTTAGTCTAAAGATTTTAAACAAAAGTATAGTCTTATATACAGAAAAACACGGTACAGTATTTAAAATTTTTTACCCCACCTTTCTCCTTATAAGGACCCAAGGAGGATTAGAAGAATTAAGACTTAATAGTAATAACAACAACTTGATTCTAACTTATAACAACGTTTTCCAGAGCTCTAGGCACAGAGTATGTAGAAGCAGTTTACTACTCCCTTCTTTTGGGGGCACTAGGGGACCAGGTTGTTTGCTAAAGACCACACAGGCTGGCTCTTCTCTCAGGAGGCACACTGAGTAATTGAACTCTTGACCCCTGGCTCCTTAGACATACTGAGCTATCCAGCCAGCTAACTCCATAGACCCATTGCATACACATGACTTGTTAAATGTTTAGGAAAATGATTTTGGATGCAGTCCTCCAAATTTCTGGTTTTGGAGATGGGCAACATAGGCTTGCAATCTTGTTGCTTAGTGCAGCGAGTCACAACTAGAATAGGTCCATTGAATCAGTGGAACTTACAGGTGAATGAACCGTTTGATAGCTCAGTGGTTTAGGTCTCAGAACCAGAGGTAGGGAATTCGATTCTCCCACCGGGCCTCCTAGACAAGGGCCGGACTTGACCATCTCATAGGGTCCCTTCCAGCTCTGCAATTTTAAAATGAATTGACCCATCAAATCACCACGGATTCAATGGGCCTACTTTAGTTGCAATGCACTATGTAACTCAGCAGGATTTCAGCCATTATGATTATGTTTGGCTTCCAGATTCAGTGTATCTTTCTTTTTACGCTATATCCCTTGGGACACTCAATAGGTGTGTGTAAAATCGTAGCCCATGCCTTCTAATGGCCTTATCTTGCATTTCCATCCATCAAATCACCACTGATTCAATGGGCCTACTTTAGTTGCAATGCACTATGTAACTCAGCAGGATTTCAGCCATTATGATTATGTTTGGCTTCCAGATTCAGTGTATCTTTCTTTTTACGCTATATCCCTTGGGACACTCAATAGGTGTGTGTAAAATCGTAGCCCATGCCTTCTAATGGCCTTATCTTGCATTTCCACTACGAGCTGATAAAGTGCAGATAATTCTGGGTTGTAGCATTAATACAATAATGGGGGCCATCCAACCCTAATTATTATAATGCGTTGTATAACAGGATATTACCTTAAGTCAAATGATCAAATTAAACATTGCGTGAAACACATTCCCCCAGCACCAGATAGACTTGATAACCACCAGATCTTTTATTACTTTTGGTGTCTGCATTAATGAGACCAATCACAGCAAATTCATTTTGCTGGGTTTTTTTTTTTTTTTTTTGCCCATGCAATAATTAATGCAGTAGAAATTTCATTAGTCACTTAGCAAGAATGAATGTCCATTTATTATGAAGTGCCCCCATTCTGTGGGAAACATTTTAAAGTAAAGTGGATAATCATTAATTAATTTGTTTAACATTCATCCTATTGCTGTTCATCACGATAAGCCTCAGTGGCATTAATATTGATGGCACACCTTGGCAGTAACGATCCCTCTGCTTCCTGAGAAGGATGTTGTTGAGAACTACTACCGTAATAAGATCATTTAAAAAAAACAACAACAACTAAACAATAGTAGCAAAATGGAGGCAACCAGAAATCAAAGTAGAGTGAATGGTGGCCAATATATAGGGAAAGAGATGGAAATACAGTCCCTTCATAAACAACTTGAAACAACAAGAAGTCCTATAATTCTCAATTCTTGGGGTTTTACCTGACAGATACCTTGCAGAGACTTAACTGTGGCTCACCTGGGAGAAAGGCCTAGACTGCAAGGCTTTGAAGCTGAGCTAGGCCAAGCTCCTCTCAAGCTTCCTGTTCAAAAAAGGAAGCTCCCCAGCTACAACTGGGATAAGCACAGGACAAGGGGGCCTAGCTTGGTCTCAAAGCCTTCCAGTCTAGGCCTTTCTCCCAGGTGAGCCGCATTTAGGTGTCTATAAGGTGCCTGTCTGTTGGACAGAATTCTGAGAGTGGAGAATCATGGGAATTATGAAGAATTGCCCTTTTCCAGCTGTGTGCCCATCTCTATTTATAACCGATCTTAAGCCACGTACTATAATGATATAGAGGTGCTCAGATGTAACTTGGCCGGTGAGAAAAGACAACGCTGTGGGTGAGCGAGGAGGAGACTCATAGCCAGTTCCAATTTCCAGGACTAACTGTAAGCAAGGAGGCAGGGAGAGGGCTGGAGGGGGCAGACTGGAGGGCTGAGCCTTGGGGAGACCTCACTAGCTATAATAGACTAGTCTCCTTTTCATCTGTTTGTATGGGAAGACTGAAGCTCCCCTCTCTGCTTTGTTTCTTCTCCAGCTAGCCAAGCCCATCCAAAACATTGCATTCATGGCTACCTCTTCCCTATGCCGATCGCACTAGGACCACACCCACATCCATCCTATGATGCAACTGCAGGTATGTATGTTCACATTAGATTGAAAGTAATGCATGCAGAGGAGAAGGGGACGACCGAGGACGAGATGGTTGGACAGTGTCTGCCAAGCAACCAACATGAATTTGACCCAACTCCGGAAGGCAGTGGAAGACAGGAGGGCCTGGCGTGCTCTGGTCCATGGGGTCACGAAGAGTCGGACACGACTAAACGACTAAACAACAACAATGCATGCCTTAAAGCGGAGGGCATTGTTGAAATGTCCACAGCAAGAAGCTCTGCTAGACCAGAAAATGACAATGGGAAGGTTCTTCCATCTTTCTTGGTTGGAAGCGCAATGTCAGGGCAGACATTGACCCTGCCAACTTATGTGGTGGATCACAAAGGAGGAGCTGGTTCAGTGCCCCTTTCTTCTGTGTAACCCTGGGCAAGCTTTTTGCTGCTTACCCAAGGCTACCCAGGCTGGCTCTTCTCTTGGGAGGCCCATAGTGGGGGAAATCGAACGCCCAACCTCTAGCTACACAGCCAGAGACCTAAACCCCTGTGCTCTCCATCAGTTCATTGATATCCCGTCGGGCCGATGTGAGTTGTGACAGACTAAGCGAAGCAGTGGGATTTTTTATGCCAAGAAGACCCCTTTGAATAAAAGGGTGTTCCTTTGTAAAATAAGCAGTGGCTGCCCCATTTCAGCCTTTGTGCCTCCATCATGGCTGTAGCACACCATGGCTACCACACAACGTTAAACCACAAGTATCCGTTGGCCTCGGAAAGCACTGATATAACCACTCTCTGAGGCAGTGGTTCCGTAAACCTGACAAAAAGCACTTCGAGGGGGTGGGCGGCCATCTTGGGACTTTTTAATTCTCTCTTCCCACTGCCCCATGGTGATCAATGAAACCTGGAATGACACGCACCGCCATTTTCCATACTCTTCTGAACACAGGGTTAATTAGGCATGTTTACCCAGCATTCCCCTCAACTTTCTTCTCTTCTGCTTGCGCAGTGTACCGGGGCTTCTGGACAGCATTCATTGTGCTGGGCGTGACTGCTAGCCTTGTTGGGGGATTCCTCTTGGTGTGTGGTGTGCCCTTTGTCAACGCACGGTTCTACAAAGTGGGAGGTGGATTCCTTCTGGCTGCAGGTAAGCCTCCAGTTCATTAAGGCCAGATATAGCAGATTCTGAAGAAGCAGCTTCGGTATTACTGGTTGAAATTCTGCCACTTACTTAGGATGTGACTTTAAGATGTGCTGTGCTGTAAGTTAATACATCTCCATAGACAGCTTGCCCAAGGTCACACAGGCTGGTTCTTCTCCCTGGGGACACAGAGGGAACTGAACGCCCAACCTTTAGCTCCGCAGCCAGAAATCTAACTCACTGAGCTATTCAGCCAGCTACATATTTAGTTAATTAGTATGAAATCTTCACTAGAGCCAATGTGGTTGGGGGCTCTCATCCCGTTCTTCAAGCCATAGAGCCAGTGTTTTGTCCAAAGACAATCTTTCCGTGGTCACATGGCCAGTGTGATTTAGACACGGAACGCTGTTCACCTTCCCACCGAGATGGTACCTATTTATCTACTCGCATTTGCATGCTTTCGAACTGCTAGGTTGGCGGGAGCTGGGACAAGCAATGGGCGCTCACTCCGTCGCGTGGATTCGATCTTACGACTGCTTGGTCTTCTGACCCTGCAGCACACGCTTCTGCGGTTTAGCCCACAGCGCCACCACGTCCCCCCCATATTTAGTTAATTGGCATGAAATCTTCACTAGAGCCAATGTGGTTGATTCGATAGCTTGTTGAACCAGGACCGAACAGACCGGGGTTCAAATTCACTGCAAGGGTGAACATTGTCTTTAGCATTTTACCTACCTTGGCAACTCTATTTAGCTTGCCCTAGTTGGGAGTCATTTAGCACCATGTAACAACAACACAAACCCTCACTTGTTCATGGCCAGCTCCAGGGTTGATGTGTCTTAAGTCCTCTCGTGTGTCCTTGAGATTTCTGTTAAGTGGGGTTATTTGGTAGAGGTGGGCAACAGAAGCATTGTAGCTGTCAACAGCTTGGAGTAATATTATATTGGCTTGCAGTGGTCAGTTTTGAATGGACGGTGATGTTCAAAAATGTGGGGAATTGTGTTGATCCATGTCAACAAAACGGGTCTAATGATCTTCTCTCCAACAGAAGTAGGCTCTCTATAAAAGTAACATTTCTTAATTGACTGTGCAAAATCAAGGAATCCGAAATACTTTGTATTAGATCAAGATCATATGCTCTTGTTTACGAGAAAATCCACTTGTTTTCCAGGTATTCAGAGTTCTATATGGCCATGGCTATAATCTGCCCATGTATCATGCATATTTATTCTTATGAAACATTAAGAAAGATGTCAACATCTCATGATATTTTATTAGTTTTTTGTAGATAAGAGGTAAAAAAAGAGGTTCGTTTCCCCCATAATTTTCAAATTATGGACAAGTTTTGTAATTTCTAAGGAGAGTTTGGAGTTCACCCCCCTGGTTGCAATAATTAGCCAGTGAAGTTTCACAAGGCTGTGGGGGGAGTAGGAAAGGACCAATCTGTTCAGTAAACAGAATTTAGTGAACAATTTAGTTGAAACGAAAGTGTGACCTTCACTTGAACAACAAGATGGAAGTCAGCAGTACAGTCAACCTCTGGATAATCATCATAAGATTCTAAAGGAGGAAGGTTGCTCATAACATGATTCTTCTGCCGTTTACATCTCCCCCAAATACATCATTCATTAACTGATGATGAAATGGAAAACTCAAAGTGAATCTTGGCCCTTCATAAATGGAAGTGGAGGAGTTCTGAGACAATGAAGGGGAAATTTACTTTTTACCACAGATCCTTTTAAGGAGAAAGGCAGGGTGAACATATTTTAAATAAATAAATATTCATTCTCTGCCTTTTGGCTAAGATCAAGGGTGGTGTGGTTAGTTACTATTGATACCAGTTTAACTGACACCACTAAGAATTAAGGAGGAACATAACTGGTAGATAGCTCAGTGGGTTTGGGTCTCTGCCTGTGGAGCCAGAGGTTGGGAGTTTGATTCCCCCCACTTTTCTAGAATTTTATGATTGTCAATCGAAACATCAACACTACCCTGCTTATCAAATACCTAGGTAATATTACAAAGATGGGCAGCCATACTGACCTCGACCCCTCAAACAACCTGGAAAGGGAACTTTCCCTTCACAATTCCCATTTGCTCTTGTATTTAAAACTTATTTAAAAGCAAATGAGAGAAACTTTCTAATTCCTTGTGGAATATTCTGAATGTCTCAAAAGCCACACGGGCGCTGGTATTTAACGAAAGGGGATCTGATGGACGAACTAATCACAGCATATGCAGAATGAGTTATAATATTTGTCATTCAATTTGATCTGAGAAGTGACCTTTTCCTCCCAGAAAGGTGCTTTGCTCCACGAGCATTATATATATTCTTTCTCTTTCTCTTTCTCTTTTCTAAACAGGAGTTTTATTTGCCTTGCTTATTCTGATGTTTGTAATGTGGAAGGAATTTGCTGCCGATCTCCCTAAATACATCCTCTTGGAAAGAAGTGAAAGATGTATGAATGACACTCCTGTAAATGTTTATTACGGGTGGTCCTTCCTGTTTGCTGCTGCTGGGCTTCCTTTAGTGCTGATGTCTGGACTTCTGTTCTACCTTGTTGGTCACACTATCCTGAAGGAACTGGAATAAAAGAAGTGGCACCAAACATTCGGGAGGGAAATGTTCCATCTGGAACCAGAGCGGTACATCTTTGCCATCCGGACAGTATCTGTAGAAGTATTGGTACTCGTCCTAATACTCATATTAGTCCAAGTATGCTATAAAATAACGGTGGGAGGATCATTTTAGCGGGGAATGTAGTGTTAGCTACAGAGCTGACCCATTTTCATACATTAATTTTTTTTTAAAAAATGCTGAAGGCCGAAGAATCTGGGAAACTGCAGTTTCTTCAAGAAATCTTGGAAAATGTAGCTCTGTGAGGGTACCCCGGATATTGCAGTTCTGGGAAAACAGGGAGGAGTCATTTTAAAAATTGCCTGCAAAAATACGGTTGTGCCTTCAATATATTATATTAAACATCAATTATAAATATTCAGCATCAAGTCCCAACTGACTTTGTTCCTTGTTAAAGGCAATCAAATATGGCTGGAATGATGTATAACATTAGCTCTATTTGTAAATGCTAATTAAAGATTTTTTTTAAAAAAAGAAGTAACTGTAATTAGCATTAAAGGATAGCTGTCAATCTGTCTTTTAAATATTTTACACTTGATGTGCTCAGAAGATTTTTTTTGTATTTTTAATAGGGTGTTTTCTTTGTTTTACATATTTGTAAAGAATCCTAAATTTCAACATATTCTTTGATTACACTCAATCAAACAAGCAAACATGGAGGCTTAGGGTCTTGTTTTGTTTCATAGTGTTTAAAAGCCGCCTTGAGTTCTTTTTAAGAAGAAAGGCAGGATAAAAATATTTTAAATCAAACCAAGTTAAAAAAAATAAGTAAATAAGATAAAAGCTCCCTCTTTTCTCTCCAGCTACACTTTTGCTTCTGTCAACTCCTGTTGATCTCTTGAACCTGCACACAAGATGGCCTGAATTGACCCTAGCACAATCTTAAAGTATTTACTATTGTTATGTCACAGCCAATGTATGGTGACCCTAACAGGGCTTTTTAAGTATGTGAGATGTTTAAGGAGCTTCACCACTTCTACACACCCCCATGAATTTCCATGGCTAAGAAGGGATTTGAATCCAGATCTCCTGTGTTCTAATCTATCACTCTATCCACTGTACCACACTGGCTCACAGAGCTCATATTATAGCAATATATCTGCATTAATAATGATAATTGTGTGCCATGAAGACAATTTCAATTTACTGTATTGGTGACCCTTTTCAGGATTTCCAAGATAGATCGCAGAACTCATATTATAGCAATATGTCTGCATTAATAATGATAATTGTGTGTCATGAAGGCAATTTCAATTTACTGTACTGGTGACCCTTTTCAGGATTTCCAAGATAGGGAATATTCAGGAGTGCTTTACCCTTCCCTTCCTCTGGGGGCAACCTTGGGACTGTGCAGCTGGCCCAAGGCTACCCAGGCTGGCTCTTCTTTTGAGAGTCATGGTGGGGAATCGAACGCCCAACCCCTGGCTCCAAAGCCAGATACTTAAACCACCAAGCTATTTGAGCCAACTCAAATAAATGTGAAAGCTTTTCATATTTCCAGGTCTCTTCAGCTAGAAAGATGTTACTAAGAGCAGCATCTTTTGCTTTGGGCAGTAGGAAGGAGGCGGGATTAAAAAAAAGCTGATTTTGACCCTGACGTCTGCAAGGTCAGCATCTTAAGGTGGAATGTGAAAAAGAAACTTTTGATTAAAATTTTGAAAAATTAAGTTTAAAATACCATGAAATGAATGTATCCCTCCACTCTCAACTCAAGTTAGATTATCAACAGTTCTCCCACATGGGACACATGTTCTGAAGTCAAAGACAAATGCTATCTTACATTTTCTCTTCTCCTCGCCACAGCAATTAACCAGTTTAGATGTATAATGGCATTTTTGGTTCCAACATACCTTTATTTATTGATGCCAAACACTTATAGGCCGCCAAGCTACAAAGTCCTCCGAGCAGCATAAAATAACAGACTGCATAAAACTATAAAAAGACAATACAGTAGTAAAGAACAAAATCAGCATAACAAAATCAGATGTCCCCCTTGTGTCTTCAGTAACACCTTTTAGGTTTAAAATGTGAGATCTCGGCAGGTGTGTGATCATACGTTGTTCCCTGTTGCTGCAAATTTCACAATTTGAGTCCCAAATTTCACAAAATTGAGTCCCAAATTGCTGCAAATTTCACATTGTCCCAAATTTCACAAAAGTGTGTCCCAAATTGCTGCATATTTTCACAATTTGAGTCCCGAATTTCACAAATTTCATAGAGCCCCAAATTTCACAAATTTCACAATTAGAGTTCCAAATCTCACAAATTTCACAATTTGAGTGCCAAATTTCACAAAATTGAGTCCCAAATTGTGGCAAATTTCACATTGTCCCAAATTTCACAAAAGTGTGTCCCAAATTGCTGCATATTTTCACAATTTGAGTCCCGAATTTCACAAATTTCATAGAGCCCCAAATTTCACAAATTTCACAATTAGAGTCCCAAATTTCAGAAATTTCACAATTTGCGTCCCGAATTTCAGAAATTTCACAATGTTAGAGTCCCAATGTTATGCGTCCTGAATTTCACAAATTTCACATTTAGAGTTCCAAATCTCACAAATTTCACAATTTGAGTGCCACATTTCACAAAATTGAGTCCCAAATTGTGGCGAATTTCACATTGTCCCAAATTTCACAAAAGTGTGTCCCAAATTGCTGCATATTTTCACAATTTGAGTCCCGAATTTCACAAATTTCATAGAGCCCCAAATTTCACAAATTTCACAATTAGAGTCCCAAATTTCAGAAATTTCACAATTTGCGTCCCGAATTTCAGAAATTTCACAATGTTAGAGTCCCAATGTTAGAGTCTCTCCAGGAAGGTTGCAGCCATGTCGTTGTTGGCATGCCTGCTGAGAAAAGAGGTTTACTCACCCAGAACATCCAGTGTGACAAGATGCAAGTCCAGATGCAGTCAAGAGAAAGCGTAGGGGCCAGTACTCCATAAGACCGTTGGCAACACTCCCAGGCCAATTCCATCATGGTGGAGTTCGGCAGAAGGACTTGTATTAAAGCAGTTTCTTCAGCAGGAAAAGGAAGAAGAGACTCGAGCAGTGGTTCCCGAACTTGGGTCTCCAGATGTTCTTGGATTAAAAATCCCAGAAGCCTTCATCCCTAGCTGTGCTGACCAGGATTTCTGGGAGTTGTAGTATCACCGAGAATTCTTCCATTTCTACCATGTTTCCCTGAAAATAAGACAGGGTCTTAGATTAATTTTTGCTCCAAAAATGCATTAGGGCTTATTTTCAGGGGATGTTTTATTTTACAGTCATGTCATCTTCCTCTGGTTGGTGCACAAGGCTGGAGGGCAGGGTTTCACTTAACTAGGGCTTATTCTTGGAGAAGGGCTTATATGACGAGCATCCTGAAAAATCGTACTAGGGCTTATTTTCAGGTTAGGTCTTATTTTTGGAGAAACAGGGTAGCTTACTTCTTTTTTTAAAAGATCCTTCAGATAACCCCATCCTAAGCTGTGTAGTGTTCTACAGGTTTTCAAACCAGCTAGAGCAGGTGATAAAGGACTACCATAATATCATGATAACCTTTCGGATGATGCTTCCCCGAATCCCTAGGTGATCATTTTGCTTGACGAATGCTCTCTTTGGATAAATTTTGTCGTTTCTAATCTCGCCGATGTCAAGATGGACACCGATGGGTCACACAGAATAAAAGATGAGAATCCATCAGGAGAGCAAGATTTACTGTCCGTTCCATTTTGTCGATCCCATAAAACAACCCAAGCATATACAAATGATGGCTGACCAGACTCGCCTGACCAGCCCCCTCAGGACGAAATCCATCAGGCTTATGAATACCTATAAAAGCAAAGGATCTCCGAAAATGTGAATATGGAAGTGAATTTCATATTAGAAAATGAAATATTTATTAACTTTCTCCCTCTCCTCTTTTTTTTTTTTAAAAATAGTTTAATGTCATCAAGTCCTTTATGGAATATATTTAATTTAACCATACATTCCACACAGTGGAGGAAACCTCTTTTCCTTTTGAGGCTTGCTGGATCTCTACTGGAACTAGCTGGCCGTGCCATAAAACGTTGTGTTTTGAAATGATGCCCACTCTTTTTAGTTGAGTGTCATGCAGCTTACATGGGCCATAAGCTGCCCTCCCACACCTTTGAGGGGAGGGGAAAGGGGCATTTTTTGAAACCTGAGGTGAACCCACCCCCAAATCACCTCTCAGTCACTTCAGATTTTATTTGGAGGGTCTGTTATAACCTATGGTGAGTCTTAGAGGTAGAAAATGGTTTCTCCAAAGCCCCAGCCTCGATCACCCCCCTCTTACCATAAAATCTGTCACTTGGTATCCGCTCCCCCATAGATAGACAAAGATAGGGGAGAAAGTTTGACAATGTGAGGCAAACTGTTGTTGAATTTTTTGGTATCATTCTTTATTTTTGTACTTTTTAAGAAAAGAGTATATCCTGTTTTTCTTTATTAAATAAACTCAAAGTGAGCCAATAAAGCAGATTTTTTTTAAAAAATCAAAATAATTTAATATAAATGACAGAGCTAAGAAAACCTATTTCTTGGGCTACAGTTTTCCAAATCTCCCTTACCATTCTTTTCATGCAGGCTAGGTTATTCTAGGAGTTTCTCCTCTCAGTCAAAGTGAACGGCTTTTTCCCAGATTGCAGTGCATGAGGACAGGAGACCGATACCTCTTCCAAATTATCAGAATAAAAAAATGTCCCTCCTTTTCATTTAGCTACGTAGATGGCATGGGAAGGTGTTTTTTTTAAATTTTATTTCCTGTATCTTCCTTTTCATTCTGATCATGCGATGTGAGAGGAGTAATAAGCTTCCTCACCTTGCATTTATGGTTAAAAAATGTTTTCACTAAAGCAAAACAAGATGTATGGATATGTGCTAGTGAGTGAACTTCTGGTGTGTCCCTCAAACCAAAAGCTTTCCTCAGTCCCTACATGCCACAAAATCTGCCCGTCTTTCACACATCCTTCTGATGCTCCTCGTGTTACAAAGTGTATATTGGTTTTCTGATTCTTTGAGGGCTGTGTCTTGGCTTCCTGACAGTCTGCAAACTGAATATAAGCATCCTTTCCTCGGGAAAACAACTGACTCTGGGACATCCTTCTGATGCTCCTTGTGTTACAAAGTGCATATTGGTTTCCT